TTCCAGGTTCAAGCCATTCTCCTGCCTCAGCCTCCTGAGTAGCTGGGATTACAGGCACACGCCACCACACCCAGCTAATTTTTGTATTTTTAGTAGAGACAGGGTTTCACCATGTTGGCCAGGATGGTCTTGATCTCTTGACCTCGTGATCCGCCCACCTCGGCCTCCCAAAGTGCTGGGATTACAGGTGTGAGCCACCGTGCCTGGCCTTTTTTTTCTTTTTTGAGACGGAGTCTCACACTCACCCAGGCTGGAGTGTAGTGGCGCGATCTCGGCTCATAATCTCCCTCTCCTGGGTTCAAGCAATTCTCTTGCCTCAGCCTCCCAAGTAGCTGGGACTACAGGCGTACGCCACCACACCCAGATAATTTTTTGTATTTTTAGTAGAGACAGGGTCTCACCATGTTGGCCAGGATGGTCTTGATCTCTTGACCTTGTGATCCGCCCGCCTTGGCCTCCCAAAGTGCTGGGATTACAGGTGTGAGCCACCGTGCCCGGCCGTCGTGTTTCTTTTTTATGGATCCCTGTGCTAATGTTGGTAATTTTCAACCTTTTAAATAGGAAAATAGAAACTCTTTGCTGTGTCCCTAGCCCATGAAATTCAAAAGTCTAGGAACTAGCACATTCCAAAAAATGTGCCATAGTTTGTGTGACTCATGAGCTGGCCGTGTTGCTGGGAGAGGGAGACTGAGTGCGGCTTCCCCAGTGTCCCGGCGTAGGACGTAGGACAGAGCCCTTGGTGTCCTGGAGAGCAGGCCTGAGACTCAGGGGCCCTAACCAGCCACAGAGCGGTGCTGCCAGGACCAAGTCTAGGTCAGGACATGTGCGTCCAGCAGGCGTGCACCCTAACGGGCCCTGGTCTTGCAGGGGAGGTGGCTGCAGTGGACTCGGAAGCCGTCTACCGGCACCTGTTCACCAGGGTCCCATCTGAGCAGTTCCACAGCCCCATGCTGGCCTTCGAGTTCATCCAGTTCTGCAGGGACAACCTCCACCTGTTTGCCGGGCACCTCAGCACCCTCAGATTGAGCTTCCCCAACCTCTTTAAGGCACATTTGGGCATCCCTGGGTGCCAGGGCGGGGGTTGGGCTCCTCTCCTCTTTCCAGTGGGGTTCAGGGCAAGTCCTGACTGCGCATAGCACCCTGTGGATCCTGGGCCTGGAATGTGGGGTGCAGCACGAGGTGAGGGCCCAGGGTGCCCATGCAGCGTCACGCCTGCCCAACAGCTCTGAGCTCTGTCCAAACCACTGCGCTGTGCCTGCAGTTCCTGGCCTGGAACAGCCCACCCCTCACCTCCGAGTTCGTGGAGCTCCTCCCAGCCCTGGTGGACACCGGCACGGCGCTGGAGATGCTGCACGCGCTGCTGGACCTGCCTTGCTTGACTGCAGCGCTGGACCTGCAGCTCAGGTGGGCCCCGACCCTCTGCCAGCACCACCCCGCCCAGCCAGCTGGTTGTGCACACTGAACTCTCCTCACCACTCCTGACCCCTACACTGGGGACCCTCCTCCCCACCCCCAACACCCAGCCAGTCCTGCCCTGCAAAGTCACCTTCAGGACAGGGCGAGTTTGTCACTCTTGGCCACCTGCCAGGGGCAGCCCCTGCACCCTGGAGTTCTCACCCATCTTCATGCCCAGGCCTGGAGCCTTCCCGTGCCCCCAAGCCCTTCCCAGCATCCAGGCGCTGTGATGTTACAGACACTTGCTGTGTGTCTCCCAATAAGGGGTGTGCCTGTGGGGGCAGGGGCTGCATGGGACCCTGAGTGGCCTGTGCTGCATCCCGGCCAGGCCTTGGGCATCTGTTCACACAGGTCATCGCCAGCTCCATCCGAGAGGCCACTCTGGGACACCTCTCTCAGGGTCCCCAGCTGCCTGGAGGCCTTCCGGGACCCACAGTTCCAGGGTCTTTTCCAATACCTGCTGCGCCCCAAGGCCAGTGGCACCACTGAGAGGTAGGGGCCCTCAGGCTGGGGAGCCGCCAGAATGGGGCTTGCTGCTGGGCCCTGGGCTGAGGCTAGGGTGCCTTATGCCCCAGACGAGGCTGTGTTCCCACCCCAGGGAGCAGCTGTCACGACCGTTGCAGAGGCCCTCCTTCTGCAGCATGGTCTGCTGGGTGGGGGCCTAGGGCTCAGCTCTCTCTGCTGCCCAGATCAACCCTCAGAAGCCTGGGGGTCGGCCCTGTGGGTGCTCCATTTTGCAGATGGAGAAACCAAGGCTGAGCCCAGGAAGCAGGAAGCCCAGGACTGGTCCACAAACCTCCTGCCCTTGGCCCACACCAGCCTTTGCCTCACCGGCTCCACTGTCCCCAGTATGCCGACACCGGGGGTCTCCCTGAACCCAGGAGAGCAGGTGGTCCTGAGAGGCGAGAAGCGAGGATGAGAGTGGGCACAGCCACATAAGAGGGGGTAGTGGTGACGTGGCCCCGATGCCGGGCCCTGGCCTGCAGTCACCAGGTAAGGGAGTGGGCGGCTCTCACAGCCACACTGTGTCCCCAGGTTGGCACCGCTCCACCAGCTGCTGCAGCCCATGGCCGGCTGCGCCCGCGTGGCCCAGTGTGCTGAGGCCGTGCCCACACTGCTGCAGGTGTTCTTCTCAGTGGTGACCCAGGTGAGCCCGCTGACTGGAGCCCCCCATTCCCACAACCAAGGGGCAAGCCAGAGCCAGCCAGCAGGTTCCCCTGAGCTCTGCAGAAGGCTCATCCCACCACACCCACCGTCCACAGCCACATGCTGCAGCCCTGGCAGGCCCCGTCCCCCATGCTGGCAGATCACATCCCCAATCCTGGCAGGCCCCATCCCCACTCCCGTTCCAGCAGGCCCTGTCCCCGTCCCAGCAGGTCCCTTCCACCTCTTTCCGGCAGGCCCCATCACCCATCAGCGGGAAAGTGAGCAGCCCTGGTGCTGGCAGCACAGCTGGGGCAGAGCAGTTTGTCCCCCTGCTGCCCTGATACCTTTAACATCTGCATCTGAGGCCAGAATAAAGGCTCCCAAAGGCTGGTAGCTGCCTCCACCCACACCTGGTCGCTGGCTCCCACCTCTGGGAGCGCTACAAGTGGGATGCCAGCACAGGAGAGCCGAGAAAGGGGCAGGCTGGCAGGGGGCTGGGCACAGGGCTGGGCATCCCCTGGGCATACCCTTGGCCAAGCAGGACATGCCCCCAGCCTTGCAGAGCAGGTGTTGGCAGAGGAGCCTCAGAGCAGAAGCAACACTTCTCCAGGGGCTCCTGGGTGTTGGAGAAGGCAGTGGACGAGAAGTTTCCCGCCTCTCGGCTGCCCCCAGGCCTCACCCCAACCCTAGGGCCTACAGTGGGGGTGGGGCTGAGCCTGTCTCTGATCCCAACCCCCAGGTGGCTGATGGGGCCCTGACCAACCAGCTGGCGCTGCTGCTCCTGGGCAGGAGTGACTCTCTCTACTCGGCGCCAGGGTACGCGGCCCGTGTGCACAGGTGGGTCCCTCCTGCGCTCCCGCCGCAGCCCTGGGCAGGCACCTCCTGGACCCCTCCCCTCTCCCTTCCCTTCAGTGGTTGCAGCTTCACCCCTAGCTGGGCCCTCAGCAGCCTCAGACCCTGCCATCCCCACCCTCGGCCCCATGCCCAGTCCTGGGCGCTTCCTCTCTGTCCCTGTCCTTCCCTCCGCTGAACCTGTCATCTTTGGGGCTGGCTCAAGTCCCTCTTGCACACCCTGTCCCCCGGGTCCTTCTCTCACTCTGAGCTGGGGCCCCAAGGCCAGTGCAGGTGCTAGCCTTCTCCCCAGTGAGGTGAACAGTTTCTCTAGGGATGGCAATCATCTGTTATGTCCCTATCTGAGGGTGCAGACTGCACCTGCCACTGACACTTCCTGGCTCCCTCTGAGCCCTCGGCCTGGATGGGGTAGGGGGTGGGGACAGGGTCAGGGGTCTGCACAGAGCAAGCACGGACCTGGCCCTTGGGCAGGGTGCTGAGCTCCCAGTTCCTGGACCTGTGTAAGCTGAAGCCCTCCCTGGTGGTGGAGCTGGCGAGAGACCTGCTGGAGTTCCTGGGCAGCGTGAATGGCCTCCGCAGCAGGGCGAGCCTCGTCACCAGCGTGGTAAGGCAGGCGCTGGCTTCCCTCCACCACTCCTGACCCAGGAGGCCTAGGTGGGGGCTTAGCCTGTGTCCCTGGGCCTAGGTGTGGGCCATCGGCGAGTACCTGTCAGTGACCTACGATCGGAGGTGCACCGTGGAGCAGATCAACAAGTTCTTCGAAGCCCTGGAGGCCCTGCTATTCGAGGTCACCCAGTGCCGCCCCTCTGCCACCCTGCCCGGCTGTCCCCCACAGGTGGTCACTGTGCTGATGACAACGCTGACAAAGCTGGCCTCCCGGAGCCAAGACCTGATCCCCAGGTGCCTGGGTGGGGAGGCAGAGAAGCCCCTGGCTTTCCTGGGGAAGGAAGAGCTGAGGCTTCTGAGGTCTTCCTGTCCAGGTGTCGTGAAATGGCCTCAGCAGCTCAGGTTCTGGGTGGGCACAGCTGGCTGGGCTGAGGTGGGCCCTGCTGAGCTAAAGCCACACTGGCTGGGCACTTTGGGGCTTGGCCCCTCCACACAGACCCTATCCCTGGGAGAGGAGTATCTGCAGCTCACAGCTGGGATCCTCTTCCCCAGGACCTCTCTGTTGCTGTCAAAGATGAGGAACCTGGCTCAGAGCCCAGCCGCCAGCTCCACGCACAGCGAGGAGGGCATGGAAGCCATCCGCACCCGGGCCACAGAGCTGCTGACCCTGCTGAAGATGCCCAGTGTGGCCCAGTTCGTGTTCACGCCCAGCGCGGAGGTGTGCAGCCCCCGCTATCACCGTGACGTCAACACAGCCCTGCCCCTGGCTCTGCGCATAGTCAGCCGGCTGGTGGAGAGGGAGGCTGGCCTCCTGCCAGGGTGAAGGGACAGTGGCCAGGGACACCGGCACAGATTAAGAACCTGGGGCTGCCAGCTTGCTGTTAGGGCCAAGCTGTCAGCTTTCGTGATGGAGAGGAACTCAGGAGGACATGGGAGTCCTGGGAGAGAGGCAGGGCCCAGGCTGGGCTTGGCACCCTCAGAGACACTCAGGGCTGACCCCCTTTTCACCCTCTGGGCTTTGTCTCCAAGCCTTTTGCTCCTTGGCCATGCTGAGCTGAGCTGAGGGGAGCTGTGGAGGCTCTAATGGGAGGCTGAGGCCTTGTGGCTGGGCTGGGTGGAGGCTGCTGGGTCTATTTCCTGTTCTTTGTTCTTGGGCAGTTTAGGGGCAGGAAAAGCTGCAGTAAAAATAAATCTCCTTTAGCAAGTGTCTCTGTGAACAGTGCTGTGCACCCTGGGGAGAGGGCCAGGGATGGGAGCCCCTGCAGCTGCTGCCAGTCCTGGGGGCGCTGCCAGGCCAGGCTGCTGCCAGCTGCTGCAGAAAACAGGGCATTCGTGCAGTCCAGAAGGCAGTGGCACGAGTTCCCGGGGATGGTCACTCTGCTGCGTGGTGCACTTGGTCAGTGTCCCTTTTGATGCTCTTGAGGAAGGGGCCGGGGAGGGCTGCAGCCTCCGGCCATTCGGAGGGGAAGGCTCAGGGAGCCACCTGCACGAGGGCTGAGCTCGGAGCACTGGCTTTGCATGAAAGGGAGCGCCTGAGCGTGCGACACCGGCCCCGCCACCTTGCCGGGCCCTGCGCTCCTATCTGCCGGGCCTTGGAGGCACAGCTTTGTCCGGCGTTCTGCCTGGCGCCTAGGACGGGCTCAGCCACCAGGGGGCGCCATCGCCTCCCACCCTCAGACCCATCTCGGGCTCTGGCCCCGCCCCCAGATTCCCCACCGCTTCGCGGCCAAGAAACCACTGGCTGGAAACGGCCGGGGGATCCTGCCCCTAGCCCGGCTTCTGGACTACAAAGAGGGCGGCTGACGCGCAGGGGGCAGAGCGGGGGACACCGTGTGGGCTCTGGAGCTCCCCAGACGCCCGGGCCCAACCCGCTGGGTCCTCACCGCTAGGTTCCAGCCCAGGGAGCGCTCGCCTGCCCCGCAGCCTGGGGTCGCGTTCTGAGCGCCAGGGCGGATGGTGTCCCCCGCGGCGGGGTGGGCTGGCCCCAGAATAGCCCGGGGCCGCTGAGCCCGGGGCCGCAGGAAAGGCAGGCGCTTCCGTCAGCTGTGTTTGTTTTTCCACGTGGAAACAGCAGCGCACGTGTAGAACTGTGCACACCAAGGTGTGCGTGCGCACGTGCATGCATGTGCGCGGGTCTCGGGATCGCCTGCAGCAGGGGGTGTGAGGGCGCTGCTGGGCCAATCCTGAAGTTCAGAGAGCGTGGGGCCGCCCCTAGCTTTAAAATGAGTCTCCCACAGAGTCCCCAGCTCCCCTCTTGCCCTGAGATGGGGCTTCACTGACCTGAAGACGTCGGTGCTGTCCTGGCTCCCAGCTCCCAGGCACTGATGGGGCCACTGCCCAGGTCACCTGGTACTACTACCACAGCCTGTGTAGCTGCGCCGGGCTTAGGACGGGGAGTGTGGCTTGCAGGGCTGCCCAGTTCATCTTGGTGACTCGGAGGGCACGACCCCAGCCCAAGGAGGAGTAGCCTCCTGGAGGGGAGGGGTTCCAAGAGGCAGCTGGGAAAGGGGCAGAGCTCACCAGCTCTCAACTGTTTTTTTAATAAACTTTAAAAATTTAGAATCGTTACAGATTTACAGAAAAGAGGAACCTTAGAAACATACTAAGTGAAAGAACGCAAACCCTAGGTCACATGTTGCATGACTTCATATTATGTCAGAGGCGTTGGAACTAGAGCAACTCCATCTTGAATGGCGGCTGGGTAAAACGAGGCTGAGACCTACTGGACTGCATTCCCAGAAGGATAGGCATTCTTCGTCTCGGGATGAGATAGGAGGTCTGCACAAGATGCAGTTTCAAGATACAGGTCACAAAAACACTCCTGATAAAATAGGATGCTGTAGAGAAACTGGCCAAAACCAAGACAGCAACCACGGTGATCTCTACTCATCCTCGCTGCTCATTATGCGCTAATTATAATGTATTAGCATGCTAGAAGGCACTCCCACCGGCACAGTGGTAGTTTCCTAATGCCATGGCAACATCAGGAAGTTGCCCTATATAGTCTAAAAAGGGGAAGGACCCTCAGTTCATGGAAATCTTCATCCCTTTCCTAGAAAACTCGAATAGTCCACCCCTTCTTTAGCATATAATCAAGAAATAACTCAGTATACTCTGTCTGGCAGCCCACTCTGCTGCTCTGCCTATGGAGTAGCCTTTTTTTCTTCTTTTTTCATTTTTTTTTTTTTTTTGAGACAGAGTCTTGCTCTGTCGCCCAGGCTGGAATGCAATGACACAATCTCAGCTCACTGCAACCTCCACCTCCTGGGTTCAAGCCATTCTCCTGCCTCAGCCTCCCGAGTAGCTGGTATTACAGGCACCTGTCACCACGCCTAGCTTTTTTTTTTTTTTTTTTTGACAGAGTCTTGCTCTGTCACCCAGGCTGGAGTACAATGGTGTGATCTTGGCTCATTGCAACCTCTGCCTCTCAGGTTCAAGCAATTCTTCTGCCTCAGCCTCCCAAGTAGCTGGGATTACAGACATGAGCCATCACACCCGGCCAGACCCGCTAATTTTTGTATTTTTAGTAGCGGCGGGATTCACCATGTTGGCCAGGCTGGTCTCGAACTCCTCACCTCAGGTGATCCCCCGCACCTTGGCCTCCCAAAGTGCTGGGATTAGAGGCATGAGCCACCTCGCATGGCCAATTGTTTTGTTTCTTTATATTCTTAATAAACTTGCTTTCACTTGATGGACTTGCCCTGAATTCTTCCTTGCTCGAGGTTCACGAACCTTCTCTTGGGGTCTGGATCAGGACCCCTTTCTGGTAACCCTGATGTGAGATAGCCACAAGACGTGTAGCCACAGAGGCAGCAAGTGGGTCTGTGGTTGCCGGCGCCTGGGCACAGGAGGGAATGAGGAGTGCCTGCTGAGTGGCCATGTCTCCTTTGCAAGTGACAACAATGTTTTAAAACTAGACAGTAGCTATAGCTGCATAACACTGTCAATGTGCTACATGCCACTGAATTATACACTTTAAATAGTTAACTTTATGTGAATTTCACTTCAAAAAGTGGTGACAACTGAATACTGTACAAGGTGTAGCTGGCATATTAATAGTAACAAGTCAATGTCAGTTTTCAGGCTTTGCTGCCGTGCGGCAGTGGGACAAGCTGGTGGAGGTACACAGGACTCTGCTATTTTTACGGCTTCCTTTGGATCTATAATTATGTCAAAATAAAATGCTTTTAAAACACAAAAACAGGCCAGGCGCGGTGGCTCACACCTGTAATCCCAGCAGCTTGGGAGGCCGAGGCAGGAAGATCACCTAAGGTCGGGAGTTCGAGACCAGCCTGGCCAACATGGTGAAACCCCGTCTCTACTAAAAATAAAAAATTTAGCCGGACGTGGTAGCAGACACCTGTAATTCCAGCTACTCAGGAGGCTGAGACAGGAGAATTGCTTGAACCTGGGAGGCAGAGGTTGCAGTGAGCTGAGATCGCATCATTGCATTCCAGCCTGGGCAACGGAATGAGATTCTGTCTCAAAAAATATATATATTTATTTATATTTTATTATATAAAATCTATATTTATACTTTATTATATAAAATCTATATTTATACTTTATTATATAAAATCTATATTTATATTTTATTATATAAAATCTATATTTATATTTTATTATATAAAATCTATATTTATATTTTATTATATAAAATCTATATTTATATTTTATTATATAAAATCTATATTTATATTTTATTATATAAAATATATATTTATATTTTATTATATAAAATATATATTTATATAAATATATATCAAATATATATATACATACACATATATATAGATTTTTTGTCTAGTGTTTTAGGAACCTGGCAGTGGGCAGCCATTTGGAGCCAGGCACAATGTGGAGCCACAAACTGCAGGTCCGTCCGCACAGGGCGCCAGGCAGACACGCTGCACCTTGCCATAGTGCACACCAGAGGGCAGCATGGGGCTGCACGAGGCCCTGTGCCTGGGACAGGCCCAGGACACCAGTTTGGTGACCCCGTGCAGACCCCTGGCCATGTGAGGGGGGCATCTGCAACTGACTGCAGTGAGCCGAGATTATGCCACTGCACTCCAGCCTGGGTGCTAGAGCAAGAGTCCAGCCCCAGAAAAAATTATATATATATATATACACAAGGTATCTCACAACTGTGGGAGCCTCTACAGTGTCTCCACCCTGCCCTTCCCACAGCCTCGATCTTCTGTTCTCTTCCTGTTTTCACTGATCCTGACTTCTGTTTGCATTGTGTATTATCGGACACATTTATTTTTTCTTTGAGACAGAGTCTTAACTCTGTCACCCAGACTGGAGTATGGTGGTGCGATCTCGCTCACTGCAGCCTCCGCCTCCCAGGTTCAAGCAGTTCTCCTGTCTCAGCCTCCCGAGTAGCTGGGATTACAAGTACCCATCCCCACATCACATCTGGCTAATTTTGTATTTTTAGTAGAGACAGGGTTTCACCATGTTGACCAGGCTAGTGGCAAAACCCTGACCTGAGGTGATCCACCCACGTTGGCCTCCCACAGTGCTGGGATTACAAGCGTGAGCCATGGTGCCCAGCTTTCATCAGACACGTTCTTATGAGCATCCAAAATCCCTGCTGAAAACAGTGTGGTTGAAAGAAACGCCTCGCTCACCTGGGACATGGTTGGTCTCTGCTGTTCTCAGAAAGCAGACACCTGTGAAGGCAGACATCAGGTAGGGAGAGAGAATGTGAGAGGCCACGCTTGCCCGGGGGCTCCCAATCAACTGCTGGGGCCACCTCCCCCCTCCCCACCACCACCGCTCTCCCCACCCCGGGGCACAGGTGGGAGAAAGCCTTCTCTGAAGGATCCCCATTACCAGAGCAAAGCCCTCACCTTCGAAATGTGATAGGGACTCAAGCTTATGAGGCCTCACTTGGATTTTTATTTTGTTTTTGAGACCGGGTTTCACTCTGTCACCCAGGCTGGAACGCAGTGGTGCAATCATGGCTCACTGCAGCCTTGGACTCCCAGGCTCAAGCTATCCTCCCAACTCAGTCTCCCGAGAAGCTGGGACTATGTCACATGCCCAGTTAATTTTTAACTTTGTCGGTAGAGATGGGGTCTCACTATATTGCCCAGGCTGGTCTCAAACCCCTAGGTTCAAGCAATGTGCCCGCTTCAGCCTCCCAAAACGTTGGGATTACAGGGTGAACCACCATGCCCGACTGGATTTTTTTCTTAATGAATATGTGTATCTGTGTCTCAGAAGTCAGTGGGCAATTTACTCCAACCCCCACCCATTGCCCCAGAAATGTAATTAATAGAAATTTGTTCTGAAGAAACAGGCCGGGCACGGTGGCTCATGCCTGTAATCCCAGAACTTTGGGAGGCCGAAGCAGGTGGATCACCTGAGGTCAGGAGTTCAGCTTGGCCAATATGGTAAAACCCCATCTCTCCTTAAAATAAAAAAATCAGCTGGATGTTATGGCGTATGCCTGTAATCCCAGCTACTCAAGAGGTTGAGGCAGCAGACTTGGGGAGCAGAGGCTGCAGTGAGCCAAGATCGCGCCATTGCACTTCAGCCTTGGTGATAGATCAACACTCCATCTCAAAAAAAAAAAAAAAAAAAATATATATATATATATATATATATACACACACACACATATATAGAAAACTTTTTTGGGGGGGATGAGGTCTTGTTCTGTTGCCCAGGCTGGAGTGCAGTAGTGGGGCATAATCTCAGCTCCCTGCAACCTCTGTCTCCCGGATTCAAGCGATTCTCTTGCCTTAGCCTGCCAAGTAGCTGGGATTACAGACATACACCATCATGTCTGGCTAATTTTTTGTATTTTTAGTAGAGACAGGGTTTTACCATGTTGGCTAGGCTGGTCTCGAACTCCTGACCTCAGGTGATTCACCTGCCTCAGCCTCCCAAAGTGCTGGGATTACAGGTGTGAGCAACCATGCCTGGCCTATTTTTATTGTAGAGGCCAGGCACAGTGGTTCACCCTTGTAATCCCAGCTACTTGGGAGGCTGAGGCAGGAGGACTGCTTGAACCTGGGAGGCAGAGGTGGCAATGAGCTGTGATTGCACAACTACACTCCAGCCTGGGCACCAGAGCAAGACTGTCTAAAAAAACAAAACGTGTGTGTGTGTGCGCGCGCGTGTGCGCACATGCGCACACGCCTTTTGCAGAGTCAGGGTTCGGCTATGTTGCTCAGGCTTTTTTCCTCCTTCAGATAGGGTCTCAGTCTGTTGCTCAGGCTGGAGTACAGTGGCACCTTCACAGCTCACTGCAGCCTCTGCCTCCCGGGCTCAAGTGATCCTCCAGCCTCAGCCTCCCAAGTAGCTGGGACTACAGACATGTAACAACATTCCTGGCTAACTTTTATAATTTTTTGTGGAGACGGGGTTTCACTGTGTTGCCCAGGCCAGTCTTGAATCCCGGGCTCAAGTGACCCTCAAGCCTCAATCCACCAAAGTGCTGGGATTACAGGCATGAGCCACCTCACTGGACGGATTTTTTTTTCTTAATATAATGGTATTTTCTAATTTCTTAAATGATAAATTGGTGCTGTTTCATGTGTAAATATTTCATAAGAATATACATGTATCCTCATGCCTGTAATCCCAGCACTTTGGGAGGCCGAGGGAGGCGGATCACAAGGTCAGGAGATCAAGACCATCCTGGCCAACATGGTGAAACCCCATCTCTACTAAAAATACAAAAAAATTAGCTGGGCATGGTAGCACGCGCCTATAGTCCCAGCTAATTGGGAGGCTGAGGTGGTAGAATTGCTTGAACCCAGGAGGTGGAGATTGCAGTGAGCCGAGATCGCACCACTGCACTACAGCCTTGGTGACAGCACGAGATTCCGTCTTAAAAAAAAAAAGAGAGAATATACATGTATCATCTTACTGTGTTTTCTCCCAATGGGCTTCTATCAAAGTCTTTCCCCAGGCAAAAGGAAAAGCAGGAGAGGGCTGAAGGGGGAGAAAGTGGAATGGGGCAGCTCTTAGCTATGAATTGCAAAACAGTGGCAGAAGCCCCTGCCGGGTGCACGGGAGCCCTGGGACTGAGTGCCAGCTTGCCCGCTACTGAGCCTGATGGTTCTGAATGTCTCTCTCACACCCATTTATTTTTTTAGTCTTTGACATAAGAAGGAGAAACAAAAAACCCAAGTTAAGAAAGCAAATTCTGGCCAGACACAGTGGCTCACGCCTGTAATCCCAGCACTTTGGGAGGCCAAGGTGGGTGAATCAGCTGAGGTCAAGAGTTCGAGACCAGCCTGGCCAACAAGGTGAAACCACATCTTTACCAAAAATACAGAAATTAGCCGGGTACAGTGGCGGGTGCCTGTAGTCACAGCTACTCAGGAGGCTGAGGCAGGAGAATCGCTTCAACCCAGGAGGTAGAGGTTGCAGAGTACAGAGATAAAAAAAAGAAAAAAATCTGACTTTACTATAGCGTAAGAGTTTACTCGTGCTTGTTCAATCCACCTTATTTTGCTGCTGTTGTTTTTGTTTTGTTGAGCAGCCTAAAGCCATGGCTTTTCGCTTCTGCCTCTACTGGTAAGTGATAAAGAGGGATGAGGAAGGGGCTTTACCGCCCCAATCAGAAACAGGAACTAAGACGCCATGACTGTATTCTCTTCCTTGCAAACCCCTGGTTCCATGTTGGTAGAAGCCAGGTCCAGAGGTGCCGGTAGGATGGGCAGAGCTGATGCTCGGGTGGCACAGGCAGAAGAGGATGATGGTAAATGCAAATGATCCAGAGAAAGTGTGGGTCCGCAACTATCCTCTGAGCACCAAGGAGATGCTCTGCCCATAGCCCGTAAGCTTGCACTCAACTAAAACCAAGATGATCCCTCGATGTGAGCACCCATGTTTGCTCTGTCCCCAAGTGGGCTGGGGCCATTTCAGGTACATGGACCTTGGGTTTTTTTAATGGAGTCTCGCTCTGTTGCCCAGGCTGGAGTGCAGCAGCACAATCTCAGCTCACTGCAACCTCCGCCTCCTGGGTTCAAGCAATTCTCCTGCCTCAGCCTCCCGAGTAACTGGAATTACAGGCGCTTACTGCCACACTCGGCTCATTTTTGTATTTTTAGTAGGGACAGGGTTTTGCCATGTTGGCCAGGCTGGTCTCGACCTACCATCCTAGGTGATTTGCTCACCTTGGCCTCCCAAAGTGCTGGGATTACAGTTGTGAGCCACCGTGCCTGGCCTCACCTCCCAAGGTGGACCTTGGGAGCTGCCACCCTCCATATGACCCTCCAGCTTCAGTCCTAAGCTATGTGAAGAGGTCTCAGAACTGGGGTCTCCCTTTGCATAGTAGATTCCTGCTCCCCGTGCTCAGCTTCTTGACAGGAATGCTTTTACTCCCGGCCTGCCTGGGTCTTGAACACTTGGGCAGATATACCGGGCTGCCAAGGCTTTGCTCCCCAGCTGAGAACTTACCTTCAGGCAGGGACTCGAGCTTCAGCCTCTGAGCTCTTGGGACCAGGGTACAAACAAGCTTGATGTGCCGAGAGGAGGGAGCCACCTTAGTGACAAAGTCTCATCCTGAGCTTTCGCAAAGACACTAGGAAATCCTGAAATTAAAATGACGCAGTGAGCCTCACATGAAAATATTAGCAAACCTGTCATTTTGGAAGGCTGAGGCAGGAGAATTGCTTGAGGCCAGGAGTTCGAGACTAGCCTTGTCAACAGAGACCCCGCCTCTACAGGGGGAAAAGAAGACACTAGCAGGATACCTTTACCGCTGATGGAGAGAAACCAATCGGTGGCAGAAGGGAACGTCAGAAGCCTGCAACACGAGTCTAAGTTCATGCTCTGTTTCTGGCTTTGAAAATGGAGGGACTGGTCAGGTGTGGTGGCTCACACCTGTTACCCCAGCACTTTGGGAGGCTGAGGTGGGCAGATCACTTGAGGTCAGGAGTTCGAGAGCAGCCTGGCCAACATGGTGAAATACCGTCTCTACTAAAAATACAAAAATAACCAGGCGCGATGGCTCACACCTGTAATCCCAGCACTTTGGGAGGCTGAAGGGGCGGATCACCTGTGGTCGGGAGTTCGAGACCAGCCTGACCAACATGGAGAAACCCCATCTCTACTAATAATACAAAATTAGTGGTGTGCATGCCTATAATCCCAGCTACTCAAAGACACTGAGGCAGGAGAATTGCTTGAACCCGGGAGGTGGAGGTTGTGATAAGCTGAGATTGTGCCATTGCACTCCAGCCTGAGCAACAAGAGCAAAACTCTGTCCCCACGAAAAAATAGAAATACAGATACAAAAATTAGCCAGGCATGGTGGTTAGCACCTGTAATCCCAGCTACTCCTGAGACTGAGGCAGGAGAATGCTTGAACCAGGAGGTGAAGGTTGCAGTGAGCCGAGATGGCACCACTGCACTCTAACCTGGGCAACAGAGCGAGATTCCATCTCAAAAAAAACAAACATAAAAATAAATAAAATTAATACAGATGTTCTGTGGGTGCTCACGAGAATGACTGGGGCTGGGTAAACCAGAGAGACTTCCTTGGGAGTGAAGGTCTGGTGAAGAGATGTGGCTGCCGTGTGCCAAGGGAAACACACAAAGACCTCTCCAGAACTCTTCTGAGGAACAAAAGCCTCAAGCTGCCAGGGGAATGGCAGTCAACCCTGTTGCCCCCAGAGCAGAGGCGAGACCTTGTGCTTTCCCCCTCAAACAGGGGCAGGAATATGTCCTGGGCTCTGACTTGGAGGTGTCCTGACACCAGGGGAGGGACAGGATCACTGTATTAAGAGACCCAGGGCCCACCTAGGACTGAGACAACAAAGAGAACTTGTCCACCCACAGGCCTGGAGATGCAAACAGCAGCCGTCAACAGGAGGAGGGGGTTAAGAGAGGAAGGTCACTTACAGCACAAAGCCTTGCTAGGGAATTGTGAAGCTGGTGGTCCACTGTGGTAACCATGGTGACAAGCCCACCTCCCACTCGACTCCTGGCTGGACGGCTCAATCACCCTCCGGGCCTCCCTGCTCCTTACACAGTAACAGCTCAGCAGAACCAGCCCATGTCCTAGTCTCTACTGTCATCCTACGCACATCTAGCCTTCCAGAAAAAAAAAAAAAGGCCAGAGACGGAAACTGAGAGAAAACAACCCACTGCAAAGAAGCAAAGCAACAAACAGATGTTAATTTCATCTCAGGTCAGCATCAGCAAGTGCATGTCCACAGCAAGTGCGCTGCAAATGAATACAGAACCAAAAAGACACAAGAAAGAGAAACGAATACATCGTCCATCACAGTAAAAGATATTTTTTGCTTTTCTTGATACAGGGTCTCACTCTGTCTCCCGGACTGGAGTGCATGGTGTGACCTCAGCTCACCGCAACCTCTGCCTCCAGGCGCAAGTGATTCTCCTGCCTCCACCACCCAAGTCGCTGGGACTGCAGGCGCCCACAACTACCACCCAGTTATTTATGTACTTTTAGTAGAGATGGGGTTTCACTATGTTGGCCAGGCTGATCTCGAACTCCTGACCTCAAGTGATCTGCCTGCCTTGGCCTCCCAAAATGCCGTGATTCCAGGCCTGAGCCACGGTGCCCAGCCATCACCATAGTAAAAGATTTTAATGCCGTTTTTAGAAACTAAGATGTAGAATACAAAAAATAGCAAGGATATATAAGATCTAAGTAACAGGCTGGGCGCAGTGGCACGTGCCTGTAATCCCAGCACTTTTGGAGGCCAAGGCAGGTGGATTACCTGAGGTCCGGAGTTCGAGATAAGCCTGACCAACAAGGTGAAACCCGGTCTCCAATAACAATACAAATTATCTGGATATGGGAGCACACACCTGTAATCTCAGCTACTTGGGAGGCTGAGGCAGGAGAATCACTTAAACCCAGACGGCAGATGTTGCAGTGAGCCTAGATCGTGCCACTGCATTCCAGCGTGGGTAACAGAGTGAGACTCTGTCTCAAAAAAAGAAGATCAGATCTAAATAACAATTTAAAAGCCTGAGCTATTGGCTGTAGACAAAATAATGCACTCAAATGATGAGCGAATGTACTTTTTTTTGAGATGAAGTCTCCTTCTGTCACCCAGGGGAGTGCAGTGGCTCGATCTCAGCTGGCTGCAACCTCCACCCTCCTGTGGTCAAGCAAGCACATCCTGCTAATTTTTGTGTTTTCAGTAGAGATGGGTTTTTACCATGTTGGCCCGGCTGGTCTGGAATTTCTGGCCTCAAGTGATCTGCCTGCCTTGGGCCCCCAAAGTGCTGGGATTACAGACGTGAGCCACTGCACCTGGCCAGAAATACCCTTTAAAAAGGAGAGGAGGGAGCGCCGGAGCGAGGCTGGCGAGAGTCTCGGCGGGCACGTGGGGCCATGGTCGTGGCCCCCTGACAGGCCGTGGCCGCCTCCGTGAAGCGAAAGAGCGAGGGCGGTAGACCTGGGCCACCTCACCCCACTGCTTGCGGCGCTGCTCGTCGACCTCGCCGGGCGTGAAGAAAAGCCGCATTTCCGCGCAGCAGGACCCGCGCCGCCTGGACCCCGAGGACGACGTGTACCTGGACATCACCGATCGCCTTTGTTTTGCCAATCTCTACAGCAGACCAAAGAGTGCATCAAATGTACATTATTTCAGTATAGATAATGAACTTGAATATGAGAACTTCTACACAGGTTTTGGACCACTCAATCTGACAATGGTTCACAGATATTGTTGCAAGATAAATAAGAAATTGAAGTCTATTACAATGTTAAGTAAGAAAACTGTTGGTTTTTCCAGCTCTGGTCAGAGAAAGCAAGCAAATGCTGCCTTCCTTGTTGGATGCTCCATGGTTATATATTTGGGGAGAACTCCAGAAGCAGCATATAAAATACTAATCTTTGGAGCTCCATCCTATATTCCTTTCAGGGTTTCTTAAAGTGTTGCCTGTGAACTGGTGCCCGTCTGTGATGTTTTGTTACCAACCAATGATGGGATAAATACAGAAGTTGAGGTGGAAGCCAGATGCTGTGCTGTGAGGACAGCCAGGCAGCCCCATGGAGAGGCCCATGTGGCAAGGCATTGAGGACGTCTGCCAATAGCTACATGGATGACCATCTTGGAAGACGCTCCAGCCCTGGGTAACCTTCAGATGACTGCTCATAGCTTGTCTGTAATCCCATCAGAGATGCTGAGCCTGAGACACTCAGCTAAGTCACTTCTAGGCTCCTCACCCACCGAAACAGTGTGAAGTAATAAATGTTTATCGTTTTAAGCTGTGAAAAAAATAAAATAAAAAGGAGAGGAGAAAAGGTCAATTTCCCTTTTGGCAAATAAGACAATTTAATCTAATTTTTTGTTTTCTTTTTAGAAAATCCATACCGTGAGGGCCAGACACTGTGGCTCACATCTGTAGTTTCACCACCTTGGGAGGCTGAGGCAGGCAGACTGCTTGAGCCCAGGAGTTTGAGACCACCCTGGGTAACATAGGAAAACCCGGTCTCTACTACAAATACAAAAATTAGCTGGGCATTGTGGTGTATCCTTTTGTCCCAGTTAATCTGGAGGCTGAGGCACAAGAACCGCTTGAACATGGGAGGCAGAGGTGCAGTGAACTGAGATGGTGCCACAGCACTCCAGCCTGGGCAACAGAGAGAGACAAATAAGACAAAGTTAAAATTTGGGAAGAAAGAAGGAAGGGAGGGAGGGAGGGAGGAAGAGGAGGAAGGGAGAGGAAGGGAAAAACAAAGGAAGGAAATCCATGCAGTCCAAATAGCAATAACCAAGAAGCTGATAAAAGTAAAATAAATATATATCTACATATAATATTGCAGGCCAGGCACAGTGGCTGACGCCTGTAATCCCAACACTTTGGAAGGCAGAGGTGAGTGGATCCCCTGAGGTCAAGAGATCGAGACCATCCTGGCCAACATGGTGAACTCTTGTCTCTACTAAAAATACAAAAAAAAAAAAAAAAAAAAAAATTAGCCAGATGCAGTGGCACAAGCCTGTAATCCCAGCTACTCAGGAGGCTGAGGCAGCAGAATGGCTTGGACCTGGGAGGTGGAGGTTGCAGTGAGATAGCACCATTGCACTCCAGCCTTGGAGATGGAGGCTACAGTGAGCTATGATCTCATCACTGCACTCCAGCTTGGGGAACAGGGCACATCTCTGTCCCCAAAAAATAAAAGAAAGAGAATATATTTATATTTTGCCAAAATCCTGCCCTCTACAGGCAGCTAGTCCAATGGGACCGGGAGAAATCAGGGCAAATAACCTCATCCCAATGTACATTATAATAGGATGTCACTGGCGTGCTATGGGCATACAGAGGTGGGAAGATGAGGGAAGGCATCGCAGAGGCTGTGGGGTGAACTGATGTCAAAAAATGGGTGCTTTCCTTCAGAACCACACATGTGCAGGACCCCAGACAGAAAACATACATGCAAAGTCGAGTGGCGGGCATTTGGAAGGAGTAGTGAAACCAAGCCAGGAAACACCAGGATGGCGAGCCGGTTTGGCTGCAGAGAGATTGTAGAGATGGTGGAATTGGCACTGTGGCCCTGGCCTCGGTTTGAAAAGACATCAGCTAGGGAAGCTGTTCAGGTGGGCAGTGGGGGGTCAGACCTGTGCGGCTTTGGAGAGACGTTCAGGTGGTACTAGGAAGCCCCCTGGCTTGGGGACAGGCTCCACGAGACCCCAGGAGGGAGCATTTGGCAGTGCATTCGAGTGATGCGATGGAGACCTGAATTATTATTTATTTGGAGACTCTGCCTCTAAATGAATAAACAAATAAAGCAGACGGATAATGAGCACAATATATTTTACCGTAAAAATGCACTCTCAAAGAATACACGAATAACAGATCCATTATGCCATTCTTACACAAATCCCAAAAGGATTAAAAAAAAAAAAAAAAGACAATGTAAAATACTGTTTACAAACACACCTGAAAGGTATGTCCTCTTAAAGATAGGCAAAAATTAAACCCCATGGAATCCAGTAGTACTTCCCTGGGGATGAGCATAGATTTGCATGGATACATCTGCAAGGAATGTCTGTGTGTCTAGCAAGTTAGGTAACCTTTCTCTGCTGTCATTGTCTCATCTGTCCCTAGACACTCATATTCTAGGTCATGGTTAGGTGATGACTGCTGTTCACCTCTCCAGACTCAGAACCCGTCACTGCCACATGGATGGTGTGGGAAACACCTGACCCTGCCCTGGTGCCTCCTGGAGACAAAAGGACATTCCCTTTCCTCCCTGCCAGGAAGCTCAGCACATTGCTGCAGGGGTGCTGGGTGCTGTGGGGCCAGAGTGGAACCAAGTCCAAATCATTCTGCTCACTGCACTGCCTCCAAGAAATCTGGAGAAAGAAAAGTGACTTCATTTTGGAGAGCCAGCAAACCAAGAACATGACAGGTGGATGTCCTACTTAGCTATCTTAAAAGGCATGAATCTCAGGCAGGCGGATCACAAGATTAGGAGTTCGAGAGCAGCCTGGCCAACATGGGAAACCACGTCTCTACTAAAAATACAAAAATTAGCCAGGCATGGTGGTGCAGGCCTGTAATCCCAGCTCCTTAGGAGGCTGAGGCAGGAGAATCACTTGAACCGGGGATGGGGAGGTTGCAGTGAGCGGAGATCATGCCACTGCACCACTGTACTCCAGCCTGGGTAAAAGAGCAAGACTTCGTCTCAAAACAAACAAACCAAAAAAAAAAAAAAAACAAACAAACTGAAAAAAAAAAACAGGCATTAATATAGAGGCCAGGTGTGGAGGCCTGTAATCCCAGCATTTTGGGAGGCCAAACTGGGAGGATCATGTGAGCCCATTAGTCTGAGACCAGCCTGGCAACATGGGTAAACCCTGCCTCTACCAAAAACAAAACAAAACAAAACTTAGCTGGGCGCGGTGGCGTGCACCTGTGGTCCCAGCTACTCGGGAGGCTTAGGCAGGTGGATCACTCGAGTCTGAGAGGCAGAAGTTGCAGTGACCTTTGATCACGCCATTGTACTCTAGCCTGAGTGACAGAGCCAGAAAAAAATAAAAGTAAACTTAAAAAAGGCGTGAATCTCAAGCTTCCTTTGATATTGGGGAAAGGGGAACAAGGAGAGGGCTGAGGTCAGGAGGCAACTGGTCACCACAGACATCTGGGTGCTGGCGGGAATCTGGGTTTTCGTGGGAGTCCAAGGAGGTTGCCAAACTTTTTTTCCTTTTTTTTTTTTTTTTTTGAGATGCAGTTTTGCTCTTGCCGCCAAAGGCTGGAGTGCAATGGTGGCACGATCACAGTCCACTGTAACCTCTACTTCCCGGTGGAGGTGATTCTCCTCCCTCAGCCTCCCGAGTAGCTGGGATTACAGGCTCCCACCACCACACCAAGCTAATTTTTGTATTTTTACTAGAGACACGGTTTCACAATGTTGCCAGGGTGGTCTCGAATTCCTGACCTCGGCCTCCAAGAGCTGGGATTTAAGGCTGGTGCTGCCTGGCGGAAGGCTGCTAAACTTCTTTATCCTTGGTCAGGTCACAAAGGTCCTCTACATCTTTAACACAACCTTGTTTTTTTGTTTGTTTGTTTTTGAGACAGAGTCTCACTCTGTCACCAGACTGGAGTGCAGTGGTGGCAGGATCTCAGCTCACCGCAACCTCCGTCTCCCAGGTTCAAGTAATTCTCCTGCCACAGCTGCACAAGTAGCTGTGACTACAGGCGCACGCCACCATGCCCAGCTAATTTTGTATTTTTAGTAGAGACAGGGTTTCATCATCTTGGCCTGGATGGTCTCGTGATCCACCTGCCTCAGTCGCCCAGAGTGCTGGGATTAGAGGTGTGAGCTGGGACAGGGAACAGAGGGATGCGGAGACCGTGAAGATGCTTTTGGATAATGGTCTGAGGTTGGGACAGTGGCAGGAGACACCATTAACCCCACGACACCACTGACCCCAGGAGATCCAGACACTACTGACCCTGGATGTCCAGGAAAAGAGACCAGCCTGGCAGTTACATGTGTTCTTCTTCAAACTAGTTGCCCAGTTGGAATGACCGATGACATCAGAGATTCCAACCTTCCTGATTGGACCGCATTCCGTGGGCGCTCGGAAACCCAGGTACACAACAGTATCTTCTCAGAGCGGTTCTCCACTCCTGACTTCTCCCCAGCCTTGAGAATAGATAACGCACTTTTACTGGTCCTAATAGAGTGTGGAAGAAGGCTTTGGACAGAACAGAAAACAGGTTCCGTGGGAGGGAACACAGTTTGGGAGACACCATGGCCAGCTGTCAACTGCAGCCGCAGCTTGAGGAGAGGAGCCCCCAGCCTAGCATCTCGGGGTATCCCCTCCTGGAGGTGACAGATGATGAACTGCCAGGACCATCAGGTGAGGGGACTGCAGGAAGAAGAGATGGGAGAGGATTGACTAAGAAGAAGGAAGAGGGCCGGGCGAGGTGGGGCATACCTGTAATACCAACAGTATGGGAAGATGAGGCGGGTGGATCACCTGAGGTCAGGAGTCAGAGAGAAGCCTGGCCAATATGGTGAAACCTTGTCTCTACTAAAATACAAACATTAGCTGCGCGGTAGTGGTGCATGCCTGTAATCGCAGCTACTTGGGAGGCTGAGGTATGAGAATCGCTCGAGCCTGGGAGGTGGAGGTTGCAGTGAGCCAAGATCGCGCCAATGCACTCCAGTCTGAGTGAAAGACTGAGACCCTGTTTCAAAAAAAGGAAGGGCCCACAAGTTGGGAAGAAGCTCCTGAGGAGGGTGTGTGGGATGAAAGGAGGGACTCAGGCCAGGCCCAGTGGCTCACACCTGTAATCCCAGCACGCTGGGAGGCTGAGGGAGGCGGATCACTTAAAAACAGGAGTTTGAGACAGCCTGGCCAACATATTGAAACCCCGTCTCTACAAAAAGCACAAAAATGATCTAGGTGTTATGGCGGGCACCTGTAAGCCGAGCTACTTGGGAGGCTGAGGCAGGAGAATCACTGGAACCCAGGAGATGAAGGTTGCAGTGAGCTAAGAAGGCACCACTACTCTCCAGCTTGGGTGACAACGCAAGACTCTGTCTTAAAAAAAAAAAAAAAAAAAAAAGAGGGACTCAGAGAGCCAGGGACCAGGGAAGGAAATGAGGAAGCATTCTGAGGAGAAATGGAAGAATGGGGAGGAGGAGAGGCACATGGGGTTCAGCAAGGGAGAAGCCAGCAGCCTGCGGGGCTGGGAGGATGGAGAGCGGTTTGGGGTTTTGGGTCGGGGTCTAAGGTGATCAACTGCAGAATCGTTAATTACACGGTGGCCTGCTTTCTTTACTCAGTCCCTTGGGTAGATCCCGGCACCCCGAGTGAGTTCCTTTACTGGAACATGAAGAGCGAGTGGTCGGACGAATCTGAGGAGGAGCCCGAGGAGGAGACAGACAAGAAGCCTGAGGAGACCTGGGTGCTGGACCCCCTGTCTGGGCTCAAGACTGAGTTAAAGCAAGAGCCAGTGTCACCCATGCCCCCTGAGGACTACAAGGCTTTCAACAGGCTGCCTGGTAAGAGGACACCCCAGAGAGCACCTCCAATCCTGTTCTTTTAAAAAAGAAGCTTCCCATAACTATACTTTTCACATGGGAAAAATATGGCCCACAGTGGGTGAGCTCTCCATGCAGGAGGACTTGACGTTCCGAAGCATCACTTATGAGGGACGCTTAGGAGGCCATAGAGGACTCGGCTAGACTTGATAAGGGTCTGTGATTGGGATAAGAAAGTCTGGTTTCAGGCTAGGCATTGTGGCTCATGCCTGAGATCCCAGCACATTGGGAGACTGAGGCAAGAGCATCGCTTGAACTCAGGACTTGGAGGCTGCAGTGAGCTATGACTGCACCACTGCACTCCAGCCTGGGTGACAGTGCAAAACCCTGTCTCAGAAAAACAAAGGCCAGGCACGGTAGCTCATGCCTGTAATCCCAGCACTTTGGGAGGCCAAGGTGGGTAGATCACCTGAGGTCAGGAGTTGGAGACCAGCCTGACCAACATGGTGAAACCCTGTCGCTACTCAACATAAAAAATTAGACAGGTGTGGTGGCGCAAGCCTGTAATCCCAGCTACTCAGGAGGCTGAGGCAGGAGAATCACTTGAACCGGGGAGGCAGAGGTTGCAAGTGAGCCGAGATGGTGCCACTGCATTCCAGCCTGGGTGACACAGTGAGACTCTGTCTCCAAAAAATAAATAAAAATAAAGACAAAATAAAAAAACACAGAAAGCACTTTCAGCTGTGCGCTCTGAAACTTAATGTCTCTTGCTGACTTTATTTGCTTTTTAGAGGCAGTCTTGCCCTATCACCCAGGCTGGACTGCAATGGTGTGATCTTGGCTCACTACAACCTCCGCCTCCTGGATGTAAGCGACTATCCTGCCTCAGCGTCCCGAGTAGCTGGGATTACAGGCCAGGATCACACCACGCTGGCTAATTTTTTATATTTTTAGTAGAGACGAGGTTTCACTGTGGTAGCCAGGATGGCCTTGAACTCCTGACCTCATGCTCGCCTCGGCTTCCCAAAGTGCTGGGATTACAGACATGAGCCACCATGCCCACCTCCTATGTTTGTCTTCAAACTGGCTGCCAGCTTGGAATAACCAGTGACATGAGAGATTCCAGTCCTCCTGATGGACTGAACTTTGTTGGCACTTGGGAGCTCAGGTGGACGACAGCATCTTCTCAGAGCTGTTCTCCACTCCCTCCCGACTGCTACCCAGCCTTGAGAATACAGAATGCACTCTTCTGGGTCCTAGTCGAGTCTGGAAGAAGGCTTTGGATAGAACAGGGACTAGGTTCCATGGGAGGAAACAGAGTTTGGGAGAGATCATGGCTAGATGTCAACCACAGCCACAGGTTGAGGAGAGGAGCCCCGAGCCTAGCACCTTGGGGTGCTCCCTCTGGAGGTGGTAGATGATGAAGTGCCCAGACCATCAGGTGAGGGAACTGGAGGAAGAGGAGGTGGGAGAGGATTGACTAAGATAAAGGAAGGGGGCCGGGCGCAGTGGCTCACACCTGTAATCCCAGCACTTTGGGAGGCTGAGGTGGGTGGATCACCTGAGGTCAGGAATTTGAATCCAGCGTGGCCGACATGGTGGAACCCTATCTCTACTAAAAACACAAACATGATCCTGGTAATACTGCTGCACACCTGTAATGCCAGCTACTCAGGAGGCTGAGGCAGGAGAAGCGCTTGAGCCTGGAAGGTGGAGGTTGCAGTGAGCTGAGAATGAGCTCCAGGCTGGGTGAGGGAATGAGACCCTCTGTGGAAAAAAAAATAAGAAGGAAGAACCCAGTTATCAGAAAGGAACACTTGAGGAAGGTATTGGGAAAAAAGAAGGGACTCAGGCCAGGCTCAGTGCCTCACACCTGTAATCCCAGCACTTTGGGAGGCCAAGGTGGGTGGATCACTTGAGGCCAGGAGTTTGAGACCAGCCTGGCCAATATGGTAAAATCCTGTCTCTACAAAAAATACAAAAATGAGCTGGGAATTGTAGTGGGCACCTGTAATCCCAGATACCTGGTGGGGCTGAGGCAGGAGAATCACTGGAACCCGGGAGATGGAGTTTGCAGCAAGCCGAAATGGCAACACTACACTCCAGCCTGGGTGACAGAGAAAGACTTTGTCTCACCAAAAAAAAAAAAAAAAAAAGGAGGGAGTCAGAGATCCAGGGACTAGGGAAGGAAAGGAAGCGTTCTGAGGACAGAAAGATGGAAGAATGGGGAGGAGAAAGAGAGACACATAGGGTTCAGCAAGGGAGAAAGACGGAAAAATGGCTCACAGAAGCCAACAGTCTGCGGAGCTGGGGAGGATGGAGAGTGCATTGGGGTTTTGGGTCGGGGTCTAAGGTGATCAATTGCAGAAGCATTACACCGTGACCTGCTTTCTTTACTCATCTCCTTGGGTAGATTCCAGCCCGCCTAATTTCCTTCCTTGGCAAAAGAAGAGGGACTGGTCGGATGAATCGGAGGAGGAGCTGGAGGAGGAGACAGGGAAGGAGTACACCCCTGAGCCTGAGGAGACCTGGGTGCTGGACACCCTGTGTGGGCTCAAGATGAAGCTCAAACGACAGCGAGTGTCACCCGTGCTGCCTAAGCGCTATGAGGCCTTCAACACGCTGCTTGGTAGGAGGACACCCCAGAAAGCACCTCCAATCCTGTTCTTGTAAAAAAAAGAGGACAGTTTCCATAACCATGCTTTCTCAGTGGGAAATGCACCCCAGTAGGTGAGCTCTCCATGTGGGAGGACTCAGGATCCAAAGCATCACTACTGAGGGACACTTGGGAGGCCACAGACTATTTGACTAGACTTGATAAAGGTCAGTGATAGGATAAGAAAGCTTGCTTTCAGGCCGGGCATGGTGGCTCATGCCTGAGATCCCAGCACATTGGGAGGCTGAGGCAAGAATATCACTTGAACTCAGGACTTTGAGGCTGCAGTGAGCTATGGCTGCACCACTGCACTCCAGCCTGGGTGACAGAGCAAAACCCTGCCTCAGAAGAAAAACCAAGTCCAGGTGCAGAACTCATGCCTGTAATCCCAGCACTTTGGGAGGCCAAGGTGGGTAGATTATCTGAGGTCAGGAGTTCGAGACCAGCCTGACTACCATGGTGAAATCCCATCTCTACTGAAAATACAAAATTAGATGCGCATGGTGGTGCATGCCTGTGATCCCAGCTACTCCGGAGGCTGAGACAAGAGAATTGCTTGAACCCAGGAGGCACAGGTTGCAAGCGAGCCGAGATTGTGCCACTGCATTCTACCCTGAGTGGTAGAGTGAGAGTCTGTCTCCAAAAAATAAATAACAATAAAAGAAAGGAAAACAAAATCAAAAAAATAAAGAAGTTTAGCTGTCCTGTCTGAAACTTAATGTCCCTTGCTGACTTTTCTCATTCATTTATTCATTCATTCATTCATTTGAGAAGGAGCCTGCCCTATCGCCCAGGCTAGTGTGCAATGGTGCAATCCCGGCTCACTGCAACCTCTGCCTCCCAGGTGGAAGCGATTCTTCTGCCTCAGCCTCTTGAATGGCTGGGATTACAGGCCAGCACCACCAAGCCTGGCTAATTTTTTTGTATTTTTAATAGAGATGAGGTTTCACTGTGATAGCCAGGATGGTCTCCAACTCCTGACCTCATGATCTGCCTGCCTCGGCTTCCCAACGTGCTGGGATGACAGGTGTGAGCCACCGTGCCTCACCTCTATGTTTTTCTTCAAACTGTTGGCCAGGTTGGAATGATCAAAGACATCTGCAATTCCAACCTTCCTGATCGGAAGGACTGAACTCCGTGGGTGCTTGGGAGCTCAGGTGGACAACAGCATCTTCTCAGAGCTGTTCTCCATGCCCGACTTCTCCTCAGCCTTGAGACTAGAGAACGCACTCCTCTAGGTCCTAGTACAGTCTGGATGAAGGCTTTGGACAGAACAGGGACCAGGTTTCATGGGAGGGAACAGAATTTGGGAGAGATCATGGCCAGCTGTCAACCTCAGCCCCAGGTTGAGGAGAGGAGCCCCCCAGCCGAGCACCTTAGGGTACTCCTCCCAGAGGTAGTGGACAAGGAGTGCCAGGACCATCAGGTGAGGGGACTGGAGGAAGGAGAGATGGCAGAGGATTGACCAAGAAGAAGAGAGGGGGCTGGGCACGGTGGCTTATGCCTGTAATCCCAGCATTTTGGGAGGTCATGGCAGTTGGATCACCTGAGGTCAAGAATTCGAGATGAGTCTGCCCAAATGGTGAAACCCTGTCTCTACTAAAATAACAAAAATCACCCAGGCAGTATTGGTGCATGCCTGTAATCCTAGCTACTTGGAAGGCTGAGGCAGAATTCTTGAGCCTGGGAAGCGGAGGTTATGGTGAACTGAGATTGCGTCTCTGCATTCTAGTCTAGTTGAGAGAGTGGGACCCTGTCTCAAAAAAAAAAAAAAAAAAGAAGAAGAAAGAAAGAAAGACCCAGAAGTCAGGAAGGAACATCTGAGGGAGTGTGTGGGGGAAGAAAGGAGGGACTAGGGCCGGATGCAGTGGCTCACACCTGTAACCCCAGGACATTGGGAGGCCAAGGCAGGAGGATCACTTGAGGCCAGGAGTATGAGACCAGCCTGGCCAACATGGTAAAACCTCATCTCTCCTAAAAGTACAAAATAGAGCCAGGCATTATGGTGGGCACCTGTAATCCCAGCTACTTGGGAGGCTGAGGCAGGAGAATCACTGGAACCCAGGAGACGGAGGCTGCAGTGAGGCGAGATTGCACCACAACAATGGGCAATCCAGCCTGGGTGGCAAAGCAAGACAGCCTCAAAAAAAAAAAAAAAGGACGGGGTCAGAGAGCCAGGGACCAGAGAAGCAAATGAGGAAGCGTTCTGAAGACAGACAGATGGAAGAATGGGGAGGAGGAGGAGAGGCACATGGGGTTCAGCAAGGGAAAGTCAAGAGTCTGCGGGGCCGGGGAGGATGGAGAGTGCTTTGGGGTTTTGGGTCAGGGTCTACGGTGATCAATTGCAGAAGCATTACACGGTAGCCTGCTTTCTTTACTCATCTCCTTGGGAAGGTCCCAGTTCGCCTTGGATCCTTTGCCGTAAAAGGAAGAGGGAGTGGTCGGAGGAATCTGAGGAGGATCCTGAGGAGGAGTCAGGGAAGGAGTGTACCCCCGAGCCTGAGGAGACCTGGGTGCTGGAGAGGCTTCAGGGGCTCAAGATGAAAATTAAGCGGCGGCGAGTGTCAACCGTGCTCCCTGAGCACCACCAGGCCTTCAACAGGCTGCTTGGTAGGAGGACACCCCATCCCGTTCTTTCAAAAAAGAGGAAACTTCCCGTAACCATACTTTTCCCGTGGGAAATATATGCCCCCCAGTGGGTGAGCTCTCCATGTGGGAGGACTCAGAAGTGATCACTCATGAGGGACTTAGGAGGCCACAGACGATTCAGCTAGACTTGATCAAGGTCTGCGATTGGGGTCAGAAAGCTTGCTTTCAGGCCAGGCGCCTGGCTCATGCCTGAGATCCCAGGAGGTTGAAAGGCTGAGGCAAGAGGATCGCTTGAACTCAGGGCTTTGAGGCTGCAGTGAGCTATGACGGCACCACTGCACTCCAGCCTGGGTGACAGAGCAAAACCCTGTCAAAGAAGGAAAACCAAGGCCGGGTATAGTAGTTCATGTCTGTGATGCCAGCCTTTTGGGAGGCCGAGGCAGGTGGATCGATTGAGGTCAGGAGTTTGAGGAGGTCAGGAGTTCAGTCTGACCAACATAGCGAAACCCCGTCTCTACTAAAAATACAAAACTCAGCCTGGTGTGGTGGCACATGCCTGTAATCCCAGCTATCCAGGAGGCTGAGACAGGAGAATTGCTTGAACCCCAGAGGGGGAGGTTGCAGTGAGCCAGTATCACACCACTGAACTCCATCCTTAGCAAAAGAGTGAGATGCCATATGAAATAAGGAAATTCAAAAAATAAAGAAAAACAAGATCAAAAAACAAAGAAAGCAGTTTCAGTTGTGCCCTCAGAAACGTAATGTCTGTTGCTGACTTTTCTGAACCTAAGTATCTCCATCCCTAGAGGGGGATGCCAAGGCCATGGTCACACCCTGCGGTGACCGTCTCAGGAGGAAACGATGGGAATGACTTTCTGACTCTGCAGGGGTCCCTGCGTGTCTGCGGGGAGGGCATCCTGCCTTCTTCCCAGCTCTCCAGCCGGTAGATTCTCACACCCAGGGCCTCCTTTGGCCTCTTCTCAGGGCAGTCTCAGAGCCGGAGCCTCTCTCCCTTGCCCAGTGAAAGTCATTCTCTCCTCTCCCATCCACCTCACCTGCGGCCACCATCCTGAGACTTTCCCCAGGGAGGCGCAGTTCTCCTGGCTGCCCTGTTTCTCCCATGGAAACTCCTTTCTGCTTCTCACACTAACATCTGCTCTCTAATCACAGAGGATCCTGTCGTGAAAAAATTCCTGGCCTGGGACACATATCTGCTGGCATCCGACAAGGTAAGGTCATTCTCCACGAAACTGTGTTCCTGTTCCAACACACAGCCTGGGGGAGGGCACAGCTTCCACACCCACAGTTCCACTCCCCTCTCCTCCACCAGCTCCCACCTGATGCTCCACAGTCTTATTTTATTCTGAGACAGAGTTTTGCTCTGTTGCCCAGGCTGGAGGGCAGTGTCCCGATCTTGGCTCAATGCAGCCTCCCACTCCAGGGTTCAAGCGATTCTCCTGCCAGCCTCCCTAGTAGCTGGGATTGCAGGCGTGCACCACCATGCCTGGCTCATATTAGTGTTTTTTGTAGAGACAGGGTTTTGCCCTGTTGGCCACGCTGGTCTTGAACACCTGACCACAGGTGATCCACCTGCCTTGGCCTCCCAAAGTGCTGTTAATACAGTCATGAGCCACTGTGCCCAGCTCCCTCCCATGGTCTTGAGTCTTGGCACCAACCCAGGTTTTTTGTGTGTGCTTTTTGTTTTTTGCTTTTTTTGAGACAGAGACTAGCTCTGCTCTCTAGGATAAAGCACAGTGGCCTCTAATTCCTGGGTTCAAGCAATTCTCCTGCCTCAGCCTCCTGAGCAGCTAGAACTACAGGCACATGCCACCACCATGCTCGACTAATTTTTGTAATTTTTGGACAAAGAGGGTCTTGCTATTTTGCCCAGGTTGTTCTCAAATTTGGGCTCACATGATCCTCCTGTCTCAGCCTCTCACAGTACTGGAGTCACAGGCTTGAGCCGCCACTCCCAGCTATTCTTGGTCTTTTCATGATTTGTCAGCATCTCCCTCAGGACTCTGCTGGTTTCTTGCAGAGTAAGTGGCCCCTGCAGGAGTCCTTAGGGATCTGAGCCCTGGGCCGCAGTCTAGCCGCAGCCCTGAAGCTCCCGGCCCCTCCACTCTCAGCTCTTTGGGACATTTCTCTGCCTCGCACACACAAGACCCTCCTGACGCCAGCCAACCTAGACACACTCCCTGCAAAGGTCCCATGGGAGCTCACCATCCTGGGAGCATCACCGACAACCTTTCCTCCAGCTTCTCGGATTTGCATCCGACCTTCTAATACCCCTCCACCTCACTATTTCCCAATGAGCACAGTCACCCCAACGCTGAGGTCCCTTCTCTGATGGGCAAACCCTCCCTTGCCCCCATTTCCCCATTGCACAATCTGCCTTTTCCAAGATGTGACCTCTCCCTCTCTGTGTTCCTTTCTCTCCATCAGTACCTGCTGGCCATGGTCATAGCATATTTTAGCCGCGCCGGCCTCTTCTCCTGGCAGTATGAACGCATTCATTTCTTCCTGGCTCTGTGAGTGCTTTGCTCCCTCCTATCCGTCAATATCCAACACCCTGGGATAGCAGGGCAAGTCGGATTCCAACCTCTCGTTTATTCTTTTTTTTTTTTTTGAGACGCAGTTTCGCTCTTGTTACCCAGGCCGGAGGGCAATAGCGCGATCTCGGATCACCGCAACCTCCACCTCCTGGGTTCAGGCAATTCTCCTGCCTCAGCCTCCCAAGTAGCTGGGATTACAGGCATGAGCCACCGCGCCCGACCCTGTTCTTTCCTTTATTTGTCCTCTTTACTCTGTGTATAAACAAGATAGGCTTATACAATGGCGTTCTTAGACTGTTCCTTCTGAAAACAAACTCAGCCCAGGTGCAGTAGTTCACGCCTGTAATCCCAGCACTTTGGAAAGCCAAGGCAGGCAGATCACCTGAAGTTAGGAGTTCAAGAGCAGCCTGGACAATATGGTCAAACCTGGCCTACACTAAAAATACAAAAATTTGCCAAGTGTGGTGGCATGTGCCTATAATCCCAGCTACTCAGGAGGCTGAGGCAGGAGAATCGCTTGAACCTGGGAGGCAAAGGTTGCGATGAGCCAAGATTACGCCATTGCACTCAAGCCTGGGTGACAGAGCAAGACTATGTCTCAAAAAAACAAAAAAATTAGCTGGGGCTGCTGATGTGAAGCTGTAATCCCAGCTACTTAGGAGGTTGAGGCAGGAGAACTGCTTGAACCAAGGAGGCAGAGGTTGCAGTACGCTACGATTAATTAAGCCACTGAACTCCAGCCTCAGTGAAAAAGCAAGATGTTTTCTCAAAGCAAAACCAAACTCAAATGCCAGTTTAAAAGTAAAAGAATAAAACCAAAGGAACCATCCACCCCTCCTAAGGGGAGAGAAAAAGGAGCAGACACGACGCCTCCCCCAGCACAGCCACTTCTGGTTCTTCTGTCTCTCTCCTTCCCACATCAACCCCACATGCAATGGTTCATTGTCCTCCTCCGGGTTCCCATGACAGAGGCCACAGTTCAGGCCCCCTCGCATCACTCCAATCCACTGACAAATGCTCCCTGCTGGGGTCTCCTGGAGCCTGTCCCCAAGCCAGGGGGCTTCCTGGTGCAGCCGGAACATCTCTCCAAAGCACAGGTCCGACCCCCACTGCCCACCTGAACAGCTTCGCTAGCTGATGTCTTTTCAAACCGAGGCCAGGGCCACAGTGCCAATTCCACCCTCTCTACAATCTCTCTGCAGCCAAACAGGCTCCCCATCCTGGTGTTTCCTGGCTTGGTCTCACCGCTCCTTCCAAATGCCCGCCACTCGACTTTGCATCTGTGTTTTCTGTCTGGGGTCCTGCACACGTGTGGTTCTGAAGGGAAGCACCCATTCCTTGACATCAGTTCACCCCACAGCCTCTGTGATGCCTTCCCTTATCTTCCCACCTCTGTATGCCCATAGCACACCAGTGACATCCTATTATAATGTGACATTGGGATGAGGTTTTTTGCCCTGATTTCTCCCAGTGCCATTAGACTAGATGCCTACAGAAGGCAGGATCTTGGAAAAATATCAATGTATTTTATTTATTTTATTTTTTTCGTGACAGAAACTCGCTCTGTCCACCAAGCTGGAGTGCAGTGGTGAGATCAGAGCTCACTACAGCCTCCATCTCTTGGGCTCAAGTGATCCTCCCACCTCAGACTCCTGATTAGCTCAGACTATAGGGCTGTGCCATCACACTTGGACAATTACTTAGGTATTTATTAAATTATATATATATATATATATTTGAGATGGAGCCTCGCTCTATCAACCAGGCTGGAGTACAATGTCACCAACTTGGCTCACTGCAACCTCTGCCCCCGGGTTCAAGCAATTCTCCTGCCTCAGCTTTCTGAGTAGCTGGGACTACAGGCCCATACCACGAGGCCCAGCTAATGTTCCGTATTTGTAGTACAGACGATGGTGTTTCGCTGTGTTAACCAGGATGGTCTCAATCGCCTGACCTGGTGATCCACCCGCCTCAGCCTCCCAAATTGCTGGAATTACAGGCATGAGCCACCACTCCCATCCTATTTATTTATTGAGAGAGAGTCTCGCTCTGTCTCCCAGGCTACAATGCAGCAGACCTATCTCAGCTCACTACAACCTCAGCCTCCTGGGTTCATGTGATTCTTGTGCCTCAGCTTCTGGAGTAGCTAGGACTAAGGTGTGTGCCACCACACCAGGGGATTTTTGTATTTTTAGTAGAGATGGGGTTTTGCCATGTTCAACAGGTTGGTCTCAAACTCCTGGCCTCATGTCACCCACCCGCTTCAGCCTCCAAAAGTGCTAAAATTCCAGGCCTGAGCCACCACTCTTGGCCACCAGTTGGCTTTTTGTCTCCATCCCGAAGGTGTGAGGGGCACCCTTCAGCAGGCATCTGTCCAGCAGGGCCCTCCTGAGGAAGGCATGGCTCTCTGCAGGGTGGGTGCCAATCCTGACCTAAGGTCCCCCGCCCTCCTCTCTGGGAAGCTGACCTCAGCCAGAGGTCTCTCCTGGTGGTGCCCCTGAGCAGCAGTCTGATTTCTGCCCCCAGCTACCTGGCCAATGACATGGAGGAGGACAACCAGGGCCCCAAACAAGCCATCTTCTACTTCCTGTATGGGAAGGACCGCTCCCAGCAACGATTATTCCAGAAGCTTCGGTTCCAGTTCTTCTGTTCCATGCGCTGCAGGGCTTGGGTTTCCCCGGAGGAGCTGGAGGAGGTGGGTGGGTGTGGGGAGGTGGAGAGGAATCTGGTGGTTGGAGGCTGGATGAGGGGATGGAGGGGTATCCTGGAGGGGTCCCCATTTTCTCAAGGGGCGTTTGTTTTTGCAGATCCACGCTTATGACCCAGAGCACTGGGTGTGGGCACGAGATCGTGCCAACTTTTTATAGAACTACAGCACCGTGGAGGCCTGAGGTCATCGGCCTGAGAGAAGGTATGTCTGCATCCCCCGGAGTCAAGGCAGAATATTGTGTCTATTTAGGAAATCCGAGGAACCCAATTGCTTGATCCAGCTTCAAGCCTGGGCAACTTGGCGAGATCGACTCTCCACAGAAATTCACAAATTAGCTGGGTGATGTGGGAGGCATCTCTATTCCCAACTACTCAGGAGGCTGAGGAAGGAGGATTGCTGGAGGCTGGAACACTGAGGCTGCAGGGAGACCTGATCCTGCCACTGTACTCCAGCCTGGTCGACACAGTGAGACCCTGTGTCAAAATTGATCAGAAATACTGAGTTCCGGGAGGTTCATTAGGACTGACACACTTGAATGACCTATTTGGGTTGAGGATTCAGTGAAGATTCAGTTTATATCTTGTGCAGCTAACCACGTTGAGGATTCAGCATGAGACTTCAACATTACGAAGTAGGATTATGGATTAGGCTCCGGGACTCGTGGTTCGTGATGTTGTCACATTAGAACCGTATCTAGCCTGGTTACCAGTTTAGATCTTAAGTGACATGAAAGGCCCACATGTGATGAAGTCTAAAGCCTCATTGTCTGAGGGTGCTCTACTCCCTGGGCAGACCCACACAAAGTCCCGGCAAGGAAATAGATAACTGGGGATGGCCTTGGGTGTATTAAGTGAGTTTTGGAGTCGGGGTCACCAAAGTGTGCGTATCACAATTGAACAGCAGGCTAGAGAATGAAGGGCAGGAGATGAAACTGGATTGATCAATCGCTCTGAACTCTAGTTAGAATTGACATGAGACGTGAATGACCTTCCTAGAGAACTGCTACCTTGAAGCCTGACCTCCTCTCTCACTTCCAGAACACCGGGCCCGGGGAGATGCGGATTTTCAGCACGAAGTTTATTCCAATGCAAATGACAGACAGACACCAGGAAGGAGGAGAGGAGCCATTTGTGCAGATCATCTAGAAGAACCTGGACTGTTCTAGAAAGAGCTCAATAGCGTGACCACGCTGTCCTCCTAGGGGTGGAGGGGCGGGGAGACGGTACTTCTAGGAGTCTGTGGAGGACAGTGAGAAACCAGGGGTGTTTCTGGTTCCACCCCTTCCTGCGGCACCACCTCCCTTTTTATATTGCTGAATTCCAGCCTCTCCAGGAGCATCTGAGGGCACAGTACAGGCACTCAGATTGGCACAGAATTATTTGTAAAGTATGAGTGCCGTCGGATTGTAACAGGTAGCTTCATGCATACTATGCATTTTTGTGGTTTTGGAAGTGTTGGCCATTGAATTATTCCTATGTTTATTTCAAATAGTTTGGAAATTGTTTTACTTTTGAAAGCTTGCTGTTCCTGTAGAGTTTTTGATGAGAATTATAGCTGTTACATATACAGAAATAGTTTTCTTTTTTTAAGAAAAAATTGTTTATCCTAAATCTTTTATTAAATTGTTTTATCTATTATGATATGTGCTCCTGAAGCGAGCACTCTTTATCTATGATACTTACATGATAGTCTATTATATTTATAGCTATGTGGTAGTTCCCGTAAATCTTCTAATAGAAATTTTTAATTCCTGTTTAGTGTTAGTTACTGAATTGTGAGAATTCAATGGTGATTTTTAACATGTCTTAGATATATTGTAATATGTTTAATATATACTATACATTTTATTGGTTTATTTTGAAAAAGATGGGCATAGAATTATTACTACATTTATTTAAAGAGTTTGGAAATACTGTTTTTGAATAGATGCTGTTTCTATAAAGTTGTGTGATGGGTGTTATAGCCATTACGTATATATAAATACAATTTTGTTTTCCTTTTTAAGAGAGGATTCTTTCTATCCTAAAGCTTTTATCTGCCAACATTTTTATCTGTTATTACACGTACTCCTGACGCGAGCCCTCTTTTTATCTATGATACTTACTTAATATATCTATTACCTGTATAGCTAAGTGGTGGTTCCCCTAAATGCTTGTAAAAATAAATTTGGATTTTATGTTTAGTGTATGATTTGAAATGTGAGAATTCAGATGTAATTTTTTACCTTCTATTGACCTGTTTGTAAATTACCTTGAAGAGGATGTGTGTTTTGAAGGAGGCCATGAGCTGTGTGTTTTCAAGGGAACCTGTGCATCTCCTGGGAAACCTAGTAAACATGAAGTTTTCTCGTCTTCACAGTGAGTGCGATCAGATTGCTCCAGATGGCTTATTTGCCGTCAAGTGACATTTTTCCTTAATGAGGTTTTGGTTATTTGAATGTATTTATTGGCTCTGGAAGATAATTCTGTATTTTTTTTTTATATAGAAATAACATAAGTCTGGAAACAGTGCTCACACCTATAATCCAGCACTTTTGGAGGTTATGGAGGGAGGATCACTTGAGGCCAGGGGTTTAAGACCAGCCTGGGCAACATAGCAGCTACATCTACTTTTTTCCTAATTTTTTTTAAAAATTAGAAGAGAAGGCTAATCCCAAATTAGGGTTTTGCTTTGGTTTGGTTTGTAGAGACAGAGACTTGCTCTCTTGCCCAGGGTGGAGTACAGTATTGCGATCTCAGCTTACTGCAACCTCTGCCTCCCGGGTTCAAGCGATTATCCTGCCTCAGCCTCCCGAGTAGCTGGGACTACCAGTGCCCATCTGTATGCCTGACTAATTTTTGTAAATATTACAGACAGGGTTTCGCCATGTTGGCCAGGCTGGTCTCAAACTTCAGACCTTAAGTGATCCATCTGCCTCGACCTCCCAAAGTGCTGGGATTAGAGGCATGAGCCACGGCGCCCGGCTGACTTCCAGAGTTTTAATAACAGACATGTGGCTGAAGAAGAAAAGGAAGCCATGGTCTGTAGACGGCAGGAGCTTCGTGAAAAGAGGCCACTGAAGGGCAGGACGTGAAGTTCTCTACCTACAGGAAACCAGCCCAGAGCCTCCCACAGGGACTTCAGTACAGAGGGCCAGGAAAATCTGCATGAACCCAAGCCCTGAACCTAAGACAGGACAAGGCCTTTACTGTTTCTGCAGACTCACAAGATGCAATCTCTGTGGTCCATGCGCATGGGATGATCTGGAATAAAGGGGACCTCATGCCTGTAATCCCAGCACTTTGGGAGTCTGAGCAGGGCCGATCACCTGAGGTTGGGAGTTTGAGACCAGCCTGACCAATGTGGAGAAACCCCATCTGTACTAAAAATACAAAATAAGCCAGGCATGATGGCACATGCCTGTCAACCCAGCTACTTGGGAGGCTTAGGCAGGAGAATCCCTAGAATCTGGGAGGTGGAGGTTGCCATGAACCACAATCGTGCCATTGGGCTCCAGCCTGGGCTACAAGAGCAAAATTCAGTCTGGAAAAAAAAAAAAAAAAGGGCCGGGGGCGGCGGGGGGGCGCCTTCTAAATGCAAATAACATGGAATCAAAGGTGCAACAGAAATACTGGCACTGATTTGGGCCGCAGAAAGGCCTAAACAGGTAACTGCAGTCCATTGCCAAGGTCATGAGCGGGGTGACTGAAATACCAAATTTCAGAAGCCATGGCCAAGACAGCTGCACGGGTGGGGAAGTCCTCCAAATGTCTCTGCTTCCTTCAGTAGCTCTTTATAAAATAAGGCGAGGTACTCCACTGATGAATTTCTTTTTTCTTTCTTTTTTTCTCTTTTGAGACAAAATTTCACTCTTGTTCCCTGGGCTGGAGTGGGATGGGGTAATCGCAGCTCACTACAACGGCTGCCTCCCAGGTTCAAGTGATTCTCCTGCCTGGAACTCTCAAGTAGCTGGGATTGCAGGCGCCTGCCACTACACCCCGATAACTTTTTGGATTTTTAGTAAAGATGGGTGTCCCCATGTTGGCCAGGCTGGTCTTTAACTCATGACCTCAAGTGATCCACTCACTGCAGTCTCCCAAATTGCTGGTATTACAGGTGTGAACCACTGCACCTGTCCCTGTCTGGGGCATTTTAAAAGCCACTGGAGATAGACATCACCTGAGTTCCATAAGGTGGCCCCTAAATAGAAGAGGCAGGATATGAGTGCCTGCAAATGTGAACCGGGTTATTGTAAAAGATGCCCATGACTCCTTACACTACTGGAAGGCGGCGGGACACAGCTTGCTGTCGGCATTATAAGCACCCCAAGATGAAAGGAAACAATGTAATAGATAAAGCGGCTGACCACTGTGTCTATCATCAGAATATCAATGCTCCAACCAGACCTCTCATACCTCTTATTTTTTTTTTTGAGCCAGGGTCGGTCTCTCTCTCTCTCAATCCCCCAGGCTGGAATGCAGTGGTGCAATCTCAGCTCCCTGCAACCTCTGCCTCCTGGATTCAAGCAATTGTCCTGCCTCAGCCTCCTGAGTAGCTAGGACTATAGCACATGCCACCACCAGGCCTGGCTAATTTTTGTACTTTCAGTAGAAACGGGGCTTCATCATGTTGGCCAAGGTGGTCTGGAACTCCTGAGCTCAGGTGATCTGCCTGCCTCGGCCTCCCAAAGTGCTGGGATTACAGGCATGAGCCACCACATCCAGCCAACCACTGAGATTACCTGGTTTCTTCCTCTGCTGGGGCCCCTCGTGGCCACTGTTCTCCTATTACTTTACCTTTTTTTTCTTTTCTTTTGTTTTCGTCCTTCCTTCCTTCTTTCTCTCTTTGTTTTCTTTTTCTTTCTTTCTCTCTCTCTCTCTCTCTCTTTCTTTCTTTCTTTTGAAACAGTGATTTGCTCTTGTTGCCCAGTCTGGAGTGCAATGGTGCCATCTCAGCTCACTGTGACCTCCACCTTCCGGGCTCAAGCCATTCCTTCTGCCTCAGCCTCCTGAGTAACTGGGATTACAGACATGCACCACCACGCCCTGCTAATTTTAAATTTTTAATAAGAGACAGGGTTTCTACATGTTGGTAAGGCTGGTCTCAAACTCCTGACCTCAGGTGATCCGCTTGCCCCGGCCTCACAAAGTGCCAGGATTACAGGCGTGAACCACTGCGCCCAGCCTCCCTGGCCTCTCCTTTCACTTTTCAGTCCTATATATTAAACTGATGGTAAGCTGTTTTTCCTCCAGGTGCCAACACTTCCATCTTCAGTTTGTATTACAACAACAATACCAGCCCTTCCAGCAACTCCGGGGGACCCCAAAACTCGCCTGGACTCAGTAGCCCAAGAGTTTCATTCCTCTAATTTTAGGGGACTCAGTGCCCCTGGTCAGCATGAAGTAGATACAGAAACATGAACTCCACCCCTCTTCCCTCATGAATGAGGAGTGGAATACGTTGGCAGGGGGTTGGGGGCACAGTTTGTAAATGGGTAACTCTATCAGACCAAATCTAGTTCAACTGGCGTTTTTTTTTTTTTTTTTTTTTTTTTTTTTTTTGAGACGGAGTTTCGCTCTTGTTACCCAGGCTGGAGTGCAATGGCGCCATCTCGGCTCACCGCAACCTCCACCTCCTGGGTTCAGGCAATTCTCCTGCCTCAGCCTCCTGAGTAGCTGGGATTACAGGCACGCGCCACCATGCCCAGCTAATTTTTTTTGTATTTTTAGTAGAGATGGGGTTTCACCATGTTGACTAGGATGGTCTCCATCTCTTGACCTCGTGATCCACCCGCCTCTGCCTCCCAAAGTGCTGGGATTACAGGCGTGAGCCACCGCGCCCGGCCGCAACCGGTGTTTTTTGTTGGTTTTTTTTTATGGAGTTTTACTCTTGTCGCCCAGACTGGAGTGCAATGGCGAGATCTCAGCTCACTGCAATCTCCCGGTACCCTGAGCATGCCCAGATTAACCAAGCGTGCAACCACGGAGCGAAACCTGAAGGCAATGGCGCGATCTCGACACACCGCAACCTCAGCCTCCCGGGTTCAGGAGATTCTCCTGCCTCAGTCTCCGGAGTAGCTGGAATTACAGGCATGCGCCACCACGCGTGCGTAATTTTTGTATTTTTAATAGAGATGGGATTTCACCGTTTTTAGCAAAACCCCGTCTCTCCTTACCTCAGGTTCTTGAACCCTGGACCTCAGGTGAACCACCAGCCTCAGCCTCCCACAGTGCCGGGATTACAGGCGTGAGGCACCGCTCCAGGCCTCAGTTCAACTTTGATGTAATAAAGTTGTCAGTTGCTTTTCAATTGACAACCATGGACTCCAGCCATGGACTCCCAGGTTAAAGGTCACATACCCTGAGCATGCCCAGATTAACCAAACGTGCAACCATGGACTGGAACCTAAGAGCTCGGACTGAGGAGACGCTACGGGATCCATTTAAGAAGCGGACACCCCCACGGCAGGAGCCAGGAACCAATCAGATTGAGTTTTGGTATCACCCCCGCCCCATGGTAGGATCCAGTCAGATTACACCTCTTAGCATTCTTCATTGCAAGATCCAATCAAATCCTAAACTTACAAAATCTCACACAGTCTCCTCCTGTGTTCTTGCCAGTTGACTTACACAAAAGCTTTATTTCTCCCTCTTTCCCTCTCCCCCAAACGGAGTTTGGCTCTTATTGCCCAGGCTGGAGTACAATGGCACGATCTTTGCTCACTACAACCTCTGCCTCCTGGGTTCAAGCAATGCTCTTGCCTCAGCCTCCCGAGTAGTTGGGATTACAGGCACCTTCCCCCACGCCCAGCTAATTTTGTATTTTTAGTAGAGATGGGCTTTCTCCATGTTGGTCAGGTGGGTCTCAAACTCCGGACCTCCGGTGATCCGCCCACCTCCGCCTCCCAGAGTGCTGGATTACAGGCACGATGTGTGTCTGGCATAGTTTGTGCGCTTGCACTTGCAAGGATGTGGACCAGCTGCACCACCTTTGCTTCTGTCTCCATCCCGCTGCTTCACAATAATCATTATGCCAAAACTGCAACTGTCCCCAGAATCTGATGTGACATTGAAGCTTCCCCTGAAACCTACTGAGGAGCTTGTAAGAAACTGATTTGGCACACACATGGTCCCCACTGCATCTTATCTCAACCCACAATGAGATTTTTTTTTTTTTTGAGGCAAAGTCTCATCGTCACCCAGAATGGTCTTGAACTCCTGGGCTGAAGCCATTCTCCTGAGTAGTGGAGACTACAGGCACACACCACCACACCAAGCTAATTTTTTTATGTTTTGTTTTATTTTGTAGAGATGGGGTCTTCCTATATTGCTCAGGCTGGTCTCAAGCTCCTGGGCTCAAGGGATCCTCCTGCCTTGGCTGGGATTACAGGCATGAGTTGCTGCATCCAGCCCCCTACCTCTCCCTTTTTGGCTTAACCCCACCAAGATAAAGGGAATATGAATATAGTTGAATGTAGAAGAGAGATGCCCACACAGTGTCAGGAGAAACATTACTAATGGCAAAGTTTGGCAGAGCAAAACTGAGCCCACCTCCTGCATAGACAGACACGCCTCGGGAGGGGAGTCAAGGAGGAAAAGGCTTTGGGATTGAAGGAAACATGCAACAGAAGGTGGAGACGTGGAGCGGGCTGCAAACAGGACCCATTCAAAGTCAGAGTAAAGGCTGGGCACAGTGGCTGATGCCTGTAACCCCAGCACTTGGGGAAGCCAAGGCAGGAGACTCTCTTGAGCCCAGGAGTTCGAGACCAGCCTGGGCCGTGTAGTGAGACCCCCCACCTCTACAAAAAATAAAAATAGGAAAATTAGCTGGGTGTGGAAGAGCAAACCTGTAGTTCTAGCTACTCAGGAGGCTGGGGTGGGAGGATTGCTTGAGCCCAGGAGCTGGAGGCTGCAGTGAGTTACGATGGCACCACTGGACTCCAGCCTGGGGACCTGGGCCAGATCCTATGTTTGCTTGTTTTTAAAGTCCAAATGGGCCAGGTGTGGTGGCTCACGCCTATAATCCCAACACTTTGGAAGGCTGAGGCAGGCAGATCACATGAGGCCAGGAGTTCGAGACCAGGCTGAACAATACGGTGAAACCCCCTCTTTACTAAAAATATAAAAATTAGCTGGGCGTAGTGGTGTGCATCTCCAATCCCAGCTACTCAGGAGCCTGAAGCAGGAGAGTGGCTCGAACTCAGGAAGCAGACGTTGCAGGGAGCCGAGGTTGTGCCACTCTTAGGCTTGGGCGAAAGAGCCAGACTCTGTCTTAAAAAACAAAGAAAAAAGTCCAAATGAAGAGCATAAAACATGAGACCCCTCTCTACACTGTGGGCTGGGTGGTCGCTCACCCCAGCCTGGAAGAGGGAAAGGAAAGGTCTGAACTTTGAGGTGCTGAAAATGGTTCCTCTCTAGAAAGCTGTACCCTGGCCAGCGACACCACAGCTGTGTCTCCCAGAGCTGGAAGCATCCTCACTCACACCTCAGGGAGAGAGGACAGTATTCCCAGGTGCACATCCAAACCCACCCAAGGGAAAAGTCCTCAAGGTGAGGGTCCTGCCTCTGTCCCCAGGACAAGTGTGAGGAGCCCTGCCTCCTGGTGGTCGCACTCAGAACTGTATCACCAACACCTGCTGGTTCCTCCCAGAAATACCCACTGGGCTGCCTTAGGACCCCGGGACACTGCAGGCAACGTAAGTGCTCTTGTGGGTTACAGTATAATAAGGAAGATGGGCAAACACCTTATTGAAATAGTTGGCTGGGTGCGGTGGCTCATGCCGTTGATCTCAGCACTTTGGGAGGCCGAGGCAGGAGGATCTCCTGAGGTCAGGGGTTCAAGACCAGCCTTTTTCTAGTAAAAGTACAAAAATTAGCCTGGTATAGGGGGCCTGTGGTCCCAGCTACTTGGGAGGCAGAGGCAAGAGAATTGGTTGAACCCGGGAGGCGGAGGTTGCGGTGAGCCGAGATCGCGCCATTGCACTCCAGCCTGGGTAACAAGAGCTAAACTCCGTCTCAAAAAACAAAACAAACAAACAAACAAATAAATAAATAAATAATATGTTAGTAAAGACGAGGTCTTGCTGTGTTTCCCAGGCTGGTCTCGAATTCCTGGCCTTAAGCTCTTTTCCCACCTTGACCTCTCAAAGTGTTGGGCTTACAGGAGTGAGTCACCACGTCTGGTGTGAATGTCTCTTTTAAATGAATCTTACGTACTCTGATGTTCTCCCTTCAGGGATGGTTCCTTTTGGGCTGTGGGTGCTGGGGACTGAGTTCAAAGCTCTTGATAGAATTCACCAACTGAGGCTGGGTGCAGTGGCTCAAGTCTGAAATCCCAACACTTTGGAGCCTGAGGTAGGTGGATCGCCTGAAGTCAGGAGTTCTAGACCAGCCTGACCAACATAGTAAAGCCTTGTCTCTACTAAAAATACAATAATTAGTCGGGCGTGGTGGTGCACATCTGTAATCCCAGCTACTCAGGAGGCTGAGAAACAAGAATCGCTTGAACCCAGGAGGCAAAGGTTGCAGTGAGCCGAGACCACACCATTGCACTCCAGCCTGGGCAACAAGAGTGAAACTCCGTCTTAAAAAAAAAACAAAGATTGTATGGTTGTAAATGTTGTGTTGCCTCCGATGCCTATGTTCTGTTCCATTGGTCTATATCTCTAAAACGTAAAATGCAATTAAAAAAAAAAAAAAAAACATAGGAAGCACAAGGTAAGCGTTGTTAAAGCGCTGCTAATAGTGTTATTGACTCTGATTAATTAGCTGGGAGGCTGAAAAACAAAAAGATCACGCCCTTGCATTCCAGCCTGGGCGACAAGAGTAAGGCTTTGTCTCAATAATAACAGTAATAACAACAGCAGTAATCATCGCTGTTTTTCATCCCGTTATCTCAATCCCATCAGTACTGAGAGGGAATACAGGGCTATTGCCAGGGAAGTTGGGGGCCATGTCAGTGTCTCCGAGTCACTGTCCAGGAAAGCATGGAGGAAGAGCTGGGGCTGGGGCTCAGGGGACTGGGAAAGGGAAAAGGGAGACGGGGGCTGGAAATGGGCATCCAGGGTCTCAGAATCACAGCAGCCAGGAGGTGGTGCTTGTCTATTACATGCCTCTGCCACCCAGATCTCTGAGTTTTCTTCTCCTCTTTCCCACTGGTTATTTAATCTCTCCAGATAAGTCTTCCATCCTGAGATTTCCCAGGATAGACCATAACAAGCATGTGATGAGCAGAAGCAAAGTAAAAGGAGTCAGGACATCTTGCGATTTGGGTAATTTTTATTCATTAAGACTTCCTGGGCGGGGCGTGGTGGCTCATGCCTGTAATCCCAGCACGTTGAAAGGCTGAGGTGGGAGGACTGCTTGAGGCCAGGAGTTTGTGGCCAGCCTGAGCAATATAGTGAGACCCGCTCCCCCATTTCTACAAGTAATTTTAAAAATTAGCTGGGTGTGGTGTGTGCAACTGTGGTCCTGGCTACTCAGGAGGCTTAGGTGGGGAGAATCACTTGAGCCTGGGAAGTTGAGGCTGCAGTGAGCTGTGATTGTGCCACTGCACTCCAGCGAGGAAGACAGAGACCCTGTCTCTACAAAATATAAGACTTCCTAAATACAGGGACCACTGCAGCAGACGTTTTCTATACATCATTTAAATTCATCACGAAAAGAGGCTCACGCCTGTAATCCCAGCACTTTGGGAGGCCAAGGCGGGTGGATCACGAGGTCAAGAGAACGAGACCATCCTGGTCAACATGGTGAAACCTTGTCTCTACTAAAAATACAAAAAATTAGCTGGGCATGGTGGTGCGTGCCTGTAATCCCAGCTACTCAGGAGGCTGAGGCAGGAGAATTGCTTGAACCCAGGAGGCGGAGGTTGCGGTGAGCCGAGATCGCACCATTGCATTCCAGCCTGGGTAACAAGAGTGAAACTCCGTCTCAAAAAAAAAAAAAAAAAAAAAAGGAACTGCATGTTCAGCACTTAGCACACGGTGTCTTTGGCCGGGCGCAGTGGGTCACGCCTGTAATCCCAGCATTTTGGGAGGCCAAGGCGGGTGGATCACGAGGTCAAGAGAACGAGACCATCCTGGTCAACATGGTGAAACCCTGTCTCTACTAAAAATACAAAAAATTAGCTGGGCATGGTGGTGCGTGCCTGTAATCCCAGCTACTCAGGAGGCTGAGGCAGGAGAATTGCTTGAACCCAGGAGGCAGAGGCTGCAGTGAGCCGAGATGGTGCCATTGCACTCCAGCCTGGGCAACAAGATCGAAACTCCATCTCAAAAAAAGAGAGGGGAGGGGAGAGGAGGGGAGACTGACGCTCAGTGAGGTTAGGTGACTGATATGAGGTCATATACCCCCTGAGAACTGTGCCAGGGTTTGAACCCCAATACACCTGTCCGATTTGGGTATTCTGCATGTCTAGCCCCTCCCCCACTGCCT